TACTTGCATTAAAAATACCCTCCAGCACACCAAGCCTCTATGAATAATAAGAGCTCAACTAAAGCTGTGTTTCCTATTCATGGCGATACCTTATGTGCAAATAAATGTCAGCAAACTTCATGACATGAAGTAGCAATAATGAATCAAACTTGTGTTTCCTGTGCAAGTGTTAATGTTGCGATGATATATAATTTCACATAACACAAAGATATAGAGTCTTTCTCTGTGTCAACAGGAGATAAATTATCTTCGAAATCAGCCGAAACGGAGATGGAAGGTAACAATGTTTGAAACGGTTCTTCTGCCTATTGTCTGTGACCTTCAAATCCTCTGCTGCGGGTCTCTATTGTGTCAACTCTGCATCCATAGGCAGCATCACTGAAAAGTAGTTTCTCTGGGGTCACGGAGGTTATCTGATGGCAACAGTCTGAAGGCTTATGGCCGTATCATGTCTGCAGCGGGGATGCTCCTGAGGTGTTTTTTCTCATTACGGGGGAATGTCGATTACTGGAATGATAGCCTCGTCTGCCGTAATTGACCCGTTGCTTCAAATTGATACCATCTGTCTTCATACAGATGTAATGACCTTGTAATAAATCGACAGTTTATTGCATTAACCCTGACTCTTTGTGACAAGTGACGATTGCCTGCAAAGGGAGGTGTCAAAATGGATCAAGGGGTCGCCACTCGGTGGCAAGAACAAAGTTGGACCAACAACCTTCTCTAAATTAGTTGGCGACAGACCCGAAGCCTTCCTGGATTCTGCTTTGTCATTTCTCCAGTTTTACATAACCATGAATGAAAAATAGTATCATATTCACGGTTGGACCTATTATCCTCTCCAGATTTAGCATCCCCGTTCTGTCTGGAAGTTTCAAACAGAGCTCACAGCTAGAAGCTGACCTTCATTTCTGGCTTTATTCCATCACCTGAGTTTCAACTCGCTAAGAGAGACTGTATATGTTTTAAATTGTATTTTAAAAATGCACATTATTCAGCGTTACTGTAAAGCTACAAGTGCTGGCAGAATGGCTAATTTTCAACTTTTTCCCCCTGGCCAGATTAGAGCGAGCCAATAAAACAATAAAACATTAAAGAACAACATCTAAAACCATTACAGCAGGAAGCAAATGACCGTCTCTCTGACCCCATAGGATTGTCCACAGGCTCTCTGTGTATGCAAGGATACATCTAGTACTGCTTACTTTTTTATTACATACACTGAAGGATGCAGAAGCACTCAGGAGAACAGAGTCTTGATTACAATTTCTGATGACACTGCAGCGTTGACTCTTTTGAGTTTTTCTTTTATCAGCTGGGTTCACAGCCTCGCAACAGTCTGAACAGCATTGTTAAAATCTTCTCTAAGATCATCAGAGTGAAACAAAGAGATCTGGATTCTTTTTGCAACCAACAAATCCCTCAGAAAGCGGCACATATTTTGCCTCTTTGCGAATATTTTCTTTATCAAGGCTGTTTGTTAAAACTAACTGATATTCTGAAGCATCTTCTGTATTTTAACGGCATAATACTGTTTTCTTTTAAGTCTGGTCAGCAAATAAATACTTATGGGATTTTTAAAAAGTTGATTTTCTTAGGCTTGAATTCTTGTTTGCATTTATATTTTTTTCATATGCTCACTTCTGTTTATTTTTTATGTGCTGCCTCAAACTAATTCAAACCACTAAATTAGTGCCGATGACTATAATTGATGTAAGTTTTCATTTTTATTTTAACTAATTAATATTAAGGTATACTTGTTTACCACATATTGTGATATATAGTTTATCCATTCTTGTTTAAATTCTGAATCTATGCTGTATTTTTCTAAATATAGAAAAGAGCCAGTCTTATAGACTCTCATAGACTCATATCATTATTCATCTTTAATGATCCCAACAGTGTATAGTAGTGAGGTAGTTAATATTTCATATTGGTTTCATATCCATGTTTGGTCCCTATTGGTGTGTGATTTGGTGTAGCGAGCAACAGGTCGCCATGCAGCTTTGGAGGTGGACTTGATGTTGTTCAGATGTTGATATAAACAGCTTTCATGTAACCGTGTGATGTTTGGGTCAAAACAAAAAAAATGTGTTCTCTCGATCATGTAAGAGATGTGTGCAAATAGTCTTAATTGACCATTTGTAATTATATTTTATATTTATATTTTTTCTGAGGTTATTTATTATAAACTTTATCATAAAATGAAGTACATTTAACTTTAAATTATGCTATTGTGATAGACAGTTGAGTACAGTGGGGCAAAAAAGTATTTAGTCAGCCACCGATTGTGCAAGTTCCCCCACTTAAAATGATGACAGAGGTCAGTAATTTGCACCAGAGGTACACTTCAACTGTGAGAGACAGAATGTGAAAAAAAAAATCCATGAATCCACATGGTAGGATTTGTAAAGAATTTATTCGTAAATCAGGGTGGAAAATAAGTATTTGGTCAATAACAAAAATACAACTCAATACTTTGTAACATAACCTTTGTTGGCAATAACAGAGGTCAAACGTTTACTATAGGTCTTTACCAGGTTTGCACACACAGTAGCTGGTATTTTGGCCCATTCCTCCATGCAGATCTTCTCGAGAGCAGTGATGTTTTGGGGCTGTCGCCGAGCAACACGGACTTTCAACTCCCGCCACAGATTTTCTATGGGGTTGAGGTCTGGAGACTGGCTAGGCCACTCCAGGACTTTCAAATGCTTCTTACGGAGCCACTCCTTTGTTGCCCGGGCGGTGTGTTTTGGATCATTGTCATGTTGGAAGACCCAGCCTCGTTTCATCTTCAAAGTTCTCACTGATGGAAGGAGGTTTTGGCTCAAAATCTCACGATACATGGCCCCATTCATTCTGTCCTTAACACGGATCAGTCGTCCTGTCCCCTTGGCAGAAAAACAGCCCCATAGCATGATGTTTCCACCCCCATGCTTCACAGTAGGTATGGTGTTCTTGGGATGCAACTCAGTATTCTTCTTCCTCCAAACACGACGAGTTGAGTTTATACCAAAAAGTTCTACTTTGGTTTCATCTGACCACATGACATTCTCCCAATCCTCTGCTGTATCATCCATGTGCTCTCTGGCAAACTTCAGACGGGCCTGGACATGCACTGGCTTCAGCAGCGGAACACGTCTGGCACTGCGGGATTTGATTCCCTGCCGTTGTAGTGTGTTACTGATGGTGACCTTTGTTACTTTGGTCCCAGCTCTCTGCAGGTCATTCACCAGGTCCCCCCGTGTGGTTCTGGGATCTTTGCTCACCGTTCTCATGATCATTTTGACCCCACGGGATGAGATCTTGCGTGGAGCCCCAGATCGAGGGAGATTATCAGTGGTCTTGTATGTCTTCCATTTTCTGATGATTGCTCCCACAGTTGATTTTTTCACACCAAGCTGCTTGCCTATTGTAGATTCACTCTTCCCAGTCTGGTGCAGGTCTACAATACTTTTCCTGGTGTCCTTCGAAAGCTCTTTGGTCTTGGCCATGGCGGAGTTTGGAGTCTGACTGTTTGAGGCTGTGGACAGGTGTCTTTTATACAGATGATGAGTTCAAACAGGTGCCATTCATACAGGTAACGAGTGGGGGACAGAAAAGCTTCTTACAGAAGACGTTACAGGTCTGTGAGAGCCAGAGATTTTCCTTGTTTGAGGTGACCAAATACTTATTTTCCACCCTAATTTACGAATAAATTCTTTACAAATCCTACCATGTGGATTCATGGAATTTTTTTTCACATTCTGTCTCTCACAGTTGAAGTGTACCTCTGGTGCAAATTACTGACCTCTGTCATCATTTTAAGTGGGGGAACTTGCACAATCGGTGGCTGACTAAATACTTTTTTGCCCCACTGTAAATTCTGACTGATATAAGTTTTTCAATACCGGTACTTATATTTGCTGATTTAAATTCCAATATTGTGATACTCAAGGATATTTTCTTCTTCCAGATACATGAAACATAAATAACATTTCCCTAACACTTGCTATGTGTATTTAATTTGTGTACTTGTTTGCCATTATTTGTTCATCCAAGTCTAGACACATTCTTGTTCCGACACACCTGAATCAATTGAATGGCTCGTTATCAGGCCTTTGCCAAACTTGATGGCAAACTTGAAGAGGTAATCCAATCATTTGATTCAGCTGTGTTGCAGTAGGAAGGCATCCAAAAGCTGCAGGACAGCAGCTCTCGAAGACTGGAGTTGGACACCCCTGGTTTACAGCCTTTCAAACACGTTTCCATCAGAAAATTTGTCGAGAGTGCCCTCTGGTGGACAAACTATAAAGTCTCGATACTCATAACAGTTGAAAGGTGTTTCTACAGTTTATTTTACTTTTTTACATTTTTTTTTTCAAGTTTTACTATGTTGAATAAAATTCAATATTTCTGGACAATGAGTATAGCATATTGAGGACCTTGTACATATTTAAGACAAGGATTAACTTGTAGTATAGTGGGTAGTATATTGAAGCGGTGGCAGTTTTCCAGTTAACGTCCAATAACTTGAGACCCAGTGTGTGTCTCCAGTACAGGTTTTATTGTTGTCAGTAAGAAGAGACCAAGTAGGCAATCCGTGTCTTGTTTGGGAAAAAGTCAGAGAGTGAAAAGACGACCTGCTGTATTTTTCCTTTGGGGCGTTTGGTTTTATTTCCATTCTCTGTTTTGCTTGAACTGAACTCTCTTTTGACACGTCGTCACTCCCAAACAGAAGGTTTGATCAGCATGTGGTTATGATTTCTGTGATCTCAGCCAGACGTGTGTGTCTGAAATGACCACATAAAAAGATATCCTACTTTATGACATTATACAGATCCAAGAGTAGAAAGAAAACTGTCTGAAATGAAGCATTTAGAACAGTTTGAAGCTTAAGCTATAGGCTTATTGGGATTACTAGTACATATGCTGTCTTTACTACTTGAAACTTCTGCCATTTAAGCTGTCTGTTACATTTGGATTTGAGTTTAAAATTATTGTTGTGTTTGTGTCCTCAGAGCCAGGATGGGAGGTTTGAAGTTCGTGGGCGTCACGGCAAGTCGGTGCTGACCATCAGCGGCGTGAGGCTCTCCGACTTGGGTCGATTTGACTGCGAGGCGCTCAGCAGGATCGGAGGTCATCAGAAGAGCATGTTCCTGGACATTGAATGTAAGCGCGCCCATTAGACGCCATTCACGCACTTTTTGTTAGAGTGCACATGCACTCCACAGCAGGCTTCCAAGAACTGGAGATATTCAAACAACAAGTTGCCTAACATTGCCTGTGGGTAAAATGCAGAGGAGTGTTGTTTTTGCAGAGCCCTGGTCACCTGTTACAGCCTCTTACAAGCTTCTCCTTTCTGCCTTTCTATCGGCTCTTTGCGGTCCTTGCTGTGGAAATGGGACACATAAACACATTTAAGCAGAGTTCAAAAGTTCACTCACGCTCAGTTCTAATAATTCTTTTTGTAGTCTGGCTATTTCATCTTTTTTTTCCCTCTCTGAAATGTATTATATCATTATAAACAAGTCACCCACCACGCACACTGCCTCCAGAAGGGTTAATTAGTGAGAGGATATCATGCATCGCCTTTCTTTTTTTCTCCTGCTGACAGCTCTGCTACTTCCCAACGAGTGCATCCATTCCTCAGTGCTGGTTGTTTGGGGTTATTTGGGGCGGGCTCTCCCCTGCTTAATGAGCTCTGAAGCAAAGATCTCCATTTTGGCCTCAGAATGATTAGGTTCATTAGTAGCGAGGCTCAGTGGAGGTTTTTTTTTCCTTTTTCTTTGGGTAGCAATTGATTCCACCTTGAAGCTCAGAGGAACAACAAAGAGCTAGGCCAGGCAAACAAATATATCCAAAGAGACAGCGAGGGAAAAATGAAGACCATATCTGTGTTGTCACATGCAAACCAATTTTCTCCTTTTCATACTGAGGTGACTTTTTGAGTTCACGGATTCCCCTCAAAATTTTGTTTTGCACGGTTCCTGAAAAGTTGACATTTTAGGAAAAACTTGTAGCAAAAAAACAATCCCAAATTCATGCACCCACTCTCTAACCGTGAAGCAAAGTTGCTGTCATTACACTGCAAACTTGTTTTGCTGGAGCCACAGCTGACAACTCGCTCCCGCGCTCTGCACAGAGACACAGGCTGTGAGTGTGGAGGGGCTGAGCCAGCCGTTGCCACCGAACTAATGAACTCATTTACTAAGTCACTGCAGGCTGCAGGGGGATAACACGTCCTCGGCTGTGACAGAGAGCCAGGCATCAATCTCTTTAATGGAATCCTGCAAGCGAGCATAAAACAACCATAATGCCTCTCCGACTGAGCGGGGCCGACCGGGCCGAAAGAAATCCGCACAACAGCTCGCCGCCGCAGTCGTCCATTACTGCCCTTTCTATTTGCCGGCGCCAATGAGCTTCTGTTTGCATGCTTTATTCCTATTCTTGGGGGGCACGATCGCAATGGAGACCCCCACCCATAGCGTGAGGTAGCTTCAATTAAGTTTTTCTTTTTTTACACTGCCGAAGGAGTTGAGGAAGCAGCAATTAAATGCTTTCCCCCCTGTCTTCTCTTTAAGGTGAAGCCTCAGCAAGTTATTTATTTATTTATTTTTTTACATCTTTGATCATCCAGCACAGCTCCACCTTTGATTTGAGTGTTTAATTGGCTGCCACAAATTCCAGACACACCAGCAATTACTCTTTTAGCAATTCAGGTCTTGTTTTAGTTTTTTTAAAAAAAGCTCCTTTTCCATGTAAACGAGGTGGGTGCAAGAAGTGACGTTACTCTGTTTTGTTTAGATATACCAAAGTTCCTGACCAACCACACCGTTTATTATTCATGGGAGGGAAATCCGGTGAACATCAGCTGCGACGTGATGTCCAACCCACCTGCCACCATGCTGTGGAGGCGAGAGCGCTTCACTATCTCCACAGAGGGAACCGCCAACATGAGGGTGCACAGCGCCGAGGGCAAGTCTGTGCTGGAGGTGAGTTCAAGTCCTCCGGTGGCAGCCAGGTTAGGTTTAGGGTCACGAGACAAAAAATGTGTTTGAAAGTTTAATAATGACTCTGTCAGTGTGGTTTATCAAACAGAGGTGCAAAAGAAATGGAGTTTTTTGTAATGAATTGAATTTTCTTCTTTAAGGGAAAAAAACAATTAAATAAACAATAAAAACAACAGTGAAAGACAGACCTGTAGTTTAATGAGTTTAAAAAGAAAATAAATTCTGATGGCTCTTTATGAAGAGTTACTCACACTGATATAGTTTTCAAAAATTTGACAAAATTCAGATTTTGATGTTTCTATTGGCATCCCAGTTTAATGGAAGTAAGCGAAACCCCAGTGGTGGTCATTGTGAATAGTTTGTCATAAAGGATGCTTTTAACTGAAGAAGTCATGAAAACTAGACACCCATACTCAGTTTTAAATAATGATTTCATTTATTACAGAAAAAGTTGTTATCCAAATCTACATGGACCTGTGTGAAAAAGTAATCACCCCCCAAACCTAATAACTGGTTATCTTGTCAGCAAGAACGGCAATCAAGCATTCAAGTCTTTCATAAGGCTGTGGAAGATTTTGATCCTCTCGTTTTTGCAGAATTGTCTCAAATCAGCCCCACTGGAAGGTGTTTTTAAGGTCATGCCAAAGCATATCAGTATAATTCTGTTTCAAATCAGTCCTATGAACACCAAAAACACATATTATTCAGTGCATGTTTAGTATATAAAGCACAGTTATATATCGAGCACAGTTGGAGCGAAAGCAGAAAAGTCCAAGTGAAATCTTTAGTTTTAATATGAATTGTGATCGACTGTATTGTTTATCTGCGTCCAGGTGACTCCTATGTCCGACAGAGACTTTGGCCGCTACAACTGCACGGCCAGAAACAACATTGGAGTTCGATACCAGGAGTTCATTTTGGCCCAGGCAGGTGAGTCTGCAGAACTGCCACTAATGCGCTAATGAGGCTAGCAACTCAATTTCAAGACCAGAACATGTGGACGTCTCAGGGACCCTGCACCTTTTCAATAACCGCTCTCCCAGTAACTCCAGCCATTCAACTACTTTGTAACCCTCTACCTCTCTACTAATGGTAATAGCCTTATTTGCAATTCTCAGGAAGATAAATTCCACTACAACTCCCAACCCCTATTCAGCCTCGCCTAATCTCAAATAGTGCTGGCTGATTTACCATACCCCTCGCAATTTAACTGAAGTACTCCCTAATTTACGGTAGCGAGGGCTAATACACAATAGTGCAGTCTAATTATCTTTAGTGCAGATTGAATTGCTCTAGCTAAGGAAGAAAAAAGTAGTGAGCAAAAAGCTGACCAAAAATGTCGTCTTGCAGGAAACAGTAGGTTTTAGAAGAGTTTGTGACTCTTACAATTCAGCACAACACACACTCAGGCACACGCAAGAAAACACACTGTGAACATGTTTGTGTTCTTAACGAATATTTGAGACGTACCTTATGTAGAATACACTGTCTTCAAAGCTCGATCATAAACTGATAGAAGAATCTGAGGGTGGAAGTGTGTTTGTAGTGAGTCAAACTGTTCTGAATTTTGCATTGATGTTTTAAGTGAGAATCACTAATACAACCAAAACACCTTGAGTCACATCAAAAACATATCCAAGGACAAGTGATGCAGGCAAGTGATGTGGCAACTTACCTGAAAATAAAATAAGTTGCTGTCTATTAAATTGCTAGAGTCTAGAGTCGGCTAGGTTTAATATGGCAGTGATGTCAGGAAGTTTTTAGAGTCAAGGTTTATTTGTGCAGGAAATATATTCAGAGGTCTTACGCAGAAGCATTTATTGCAGTGAGCTTAATATCAAGGAGAACAAAGATGGACACTGCTTATTGCCACCCAGTTCTAGAACAATCTTGGAGGCAACAGCAGGAGAACGGATTTATAGTCCAATAATCCAAATATTTAACCCACAATGAGGTAGTGGTCATGCACAGGGAGACAGGTGGAGCGGCACGCAGGCAAAACACAGTGTCTATATAAACAGATAAAAAAATATGGAACTGGATTTTTTTTAAAAAAGCAGAACTCAAGCAATTAAACAAACTAGGAATCAAGGAAGGCTAAGGTGTTGCACACTAAACATGGGTGACACAAAGGAGGGAAAACTAGCAAAGAAATGATGTACAATAGAAATTACTTACAGAAACCTGACATTGTGGCCATTTCTTAATATATCTATCCTCATCCTGCGCAGAATAGATTCTGTTCCTGTCTGTTCCAGCTAAAAGAAAAGACTAACACAGCTCCTGCACTTTTAATCTGCATGAGTAGAAATGTTATGTTTTTAATGTCCTATCTTTTCACCTAAAATTAAAGTACACAGGCTCCTCTCAGGCGTTGTATAAGCTGAATTATTACATCTCTCCTAAATAACCCTTGAAAGCTTACCAAATATAGAAAAATAATCTTTTACAATGTCTGTCTTTAGTTTTATTACGGTGGCACTGTGCCATTTATCTTTGATCAAAAATACATTCAGTGTAGTTGGTTATTGCTGTGTAAATGTCAGAGTTAGGTCCATAAATATTAAGACAATTGCCTCTGTACTCTGAGGTCCTCCCATTTGTTTTGTTACATTAGTCAAATTACTCACGCTAGAAGACTTTTTTTTTTTATCCCTCTGCAGTATCTGCTGTTTGGCAGTGTGCACCCTCCAACACAAGAATTCCCTCCCCCACTACATTGCAGCACAGGTCAGAGCTGGTATGAATGACATGAATGGCTGATCATTCACACACAGCATGAAAACAATGAGCTTTTGTGGAGGTGGGTTGCAAAGCTGCTTGAAAAGCTAGGAGCAAATTCAGTAGCTTGGGTAGTAGGATGTGTATGAGGGTATCAGCGGTGCCATCAGCTGGTGCTTGCTTCTTATCAGCTGATGGGAGTGGAAATCTGAGTCAGTCAAACAGTCAGTCTTTCTGGCTCTTTGTTCTAGACTGAAATATCCCACCAACAATGGGATGTATTGCCTGCATAATGTATAAACATTTTAAATGCTTTATAGTTTTTTTCTTTCCTTCATTAATAATGTGGCTGGGCACATTCGTAGCGTATGCCCCCCCCCTCAGCCAATGCGGATGCAGCCTGTGACTCTCTCCACTCAGTGGTCAGCAGACTGCAAACACAATCTCCGAGAGCCCCTCTCATAATATCAGGGGACTTTAATCATGTCTCACTGGACTCCACGCTTCCCACCTTCACCCAGGATGTGACCTGCCCAACCAGAGACAATAGAACACTGGACTTACTGTATGCCAATGCAGAAGAGGCATACAGTTCATCACCTCTCCCTCCTCTGGGCAGATCTGACCGCAACCTGGTGCACCTTGTCCCTGTGTATGAGCCCTTAGTGCGCAGGGAGCCACCAGCCACCCGCACAGTACAGAG